GCCAAAATAGACAAATGGAATCTAATTAAACATAAGAGCTCCTGAACAGCAAAAGAAACTATCATCAGAGTGAACAGGCAACCTACAAAATGGGAGACAATTGTTTCAATCTATCCATCTGACAAATGGCTAATATCCAGAATCTATGACTTAAACAAATTTACAAGAAAAAAAAAAATCAAAAAGTGGGCAGAGGATATGAACAGACACTTCTCAGGAAGAAGACATTTATGCAGCCTACAAACATATGAAAAAAAGCTCATTATCACGAGTCGTTAGAGAAATGCAAATCAAAACAACATTGAGATACCATCTCACACCAGTTAGAATGACAATCATTAAAAAGTCAGGAGACAAAAGATGCTGGAGAGGATGCAGAAAAATAGGAATGCTTTTACACTGTTGATGAGAAGGTACATCAGTTCAACCATTGTGGAAGACAGTGTGGTGATTTCTCAAGAATCTGGAACTAGAAACACCATTTAACCCAGCAATCCCATTACTGGGGAATATACAAAGGATTATAAATCATTCTACTATAAAGACACATGCACACATATGTTTATTGTGGCAGTGTTCACAAGAACAAAGACTTGGAACCAACCCAAATGCCCATCAATGATAGACTAGATAAAGAAAATGTGGCACATATACACCGTGGAATACTATGCAGCCATAAAAAATGATGAGTTCATGTCCTTTTCAGGGACATGGATGAAGCTGGAAACCATCATTCTCAGCAAACTAACACGAGAACAGAAAACCAAACACTGCTATGTTCTCACTCATTAGTGGGAGTTGAAAAATGAGAATACATGGACACAGGGAGGTACCTCACACATTGTGCCTGTTGGGGGGTTGGGAGCTAGGGAAGGGATTGCATTAGGAAAAAAAAAAAAAACTAATGTAGATGATGGGTTGATGGGTGCAACAAACCACCATGGCATGTATATCTGTGTAACCAACTTGCACGTTCTACACATGAACCCCAGAATTTGAAGTATTAAGAAAAAAACAGAATCATTGTTTCGGTCTTAACAATATAGGCAACCACTAGGAAAATCTTAGAGAGTCAGATCACCCAGAAACCTTGTGTTAATTTTCTAGTCTGAAGTGGTATTTAAGCCATTTCATCAAACAGATGGTACCCGAAGGCCCTGTCAGAAGCATGCAGCTGAAAGTAATACTGGATATGTGGAAAAAAGGAAGTCTGAATTTTTTGACAATTGTACAAAGGGTGAATTCAGGTGGTGAGCTGAAGTGGTTTGTTTATTGCCTGTTTGTTTTTGAATCAGGATAACCTCTCCATGACTTTTGCTTTCATATTCTGCAACTTGTGCTATTAGTATGTCACAATCAAGTGACAATTTCATATGCTTAACTTAAATGCCTATGTATGCACAAAGCCGCCAAATACATAGGACCTAAAATTTTAGAAACCCGTGTCATTAAAGTATTCCTTTGTTGTATATTTATTGGGGAAAAAATTATACTTTCATCGGGCACTGTTCTAGGTACTGGAAATATAGTAGTGAACAAAGGAAAATAAAAATCTCTACCTTCAGAAAGTTGTTTCTGGTGGGTGAATTTCTAAATAAGAGCCAAATGGAGCTTTATTTATTTAATTTCATTTATAAACCTTTGCTCATCATAAATAATTTGAAATTGCTACAGAAATAAGCACAATACGATTAAAAAAGTACAGATAAGAAAAAATAAATGATAAAGAGTATATAATAACCTTGTTGAACTTTTTTTTTCCCTTGAATTTTTATAATAAAGAAACCTTGGTAAATTTTTAAGAAATCCAGAGATAATAGCCTGGAAACAGATCAGAATAATTCAAAGGTAAAATAAACTACAACTGATATTAAATAAAATTAAAAGTTGCAATAAGTTCAAAAACATACAAATCAAATTCCTTTAAAACACTGATTTTTAAAAATCCAAGGTTGTTTCCAGAATATGTGTAAAGTTCTTAAAACCCTGGACCCACCTCAGATTTTCTCAATTATAATCCATGTGGGGTCCAAACATATGTATTTTGTTTTAATATAGGACATGTTGTTTTTAACTATAAAACTGAACCCCTGATGATGATAACTTAAATTAGATCTTGATATACATTTTAAGATAGATTTGGGGGTCAGGTGCATCTTTGTTACATGGAAGTAGAGTGCTGAAGTCTGGGCTTTCAGTGTAAACATAACCTGAATAGCGTACATTGCACCCACTCCCTTCCCATCCTTCCACCTTTTAACACACCAATCAAATGTAAGCATTTTTTAAAAGTTCCAGAGGTGGTTCTGATGTTCATTTAAAAACCACTGTTTGAAGGCTGGGACTTGCCAGATGGCAGAGCGAGGACTAAGGCAAATCTGCTCCCTCTCAAAAAACTAAAACTGCAAAATACTGTCAGAACCCAGAATTTTGGGACCCTAATAACTTGAGTAGTAATCAATATGGGACCCCTGATAACATTAAGCAGTAACTTGAGAAATATTTATTCACGAACCACTGTTGCACATGGGGCAAGAAATTTATAAGATTTATATGTATAAAAATGTTTATAAGAAATTTCTAAGGTGACTTCTTTATCTTAAATACTATGATTAATTCTAGATACATAATATACATTTGCATCAAAAATGTTTATAAAATAACCTATTCAGGGAATGTAATGCTTCAATAATTAACACAGCATTTGCAAACACTTGCATATTTTTAAAGTGCTATTTAAAGACCTGATTTTCTTAAATAGGGAAGATACTGCATTTGAAACCTTATTTACAAAGGTTGCCAGGACACTTTAATATATGCTGTTGCAGTCCAAGCTTATGTCATAAAATATTCACAAACATAAAACTACAAGGATCATAATTAGCTAGATTATTCTGCACATGGAAAATCAAGAGTATTAATATCACAGCCCTTGATATTTATTTATTTATTTTGTCAACAAACATTGATTACCATGTGCCAAACATTGTCCTAATTCCTTTACATGTATTGATTTATTTAATCCTCAAAAGGTTACTAAAATGGAGCTGCTATTATCATGTCTGTTTTATAAGATGAGGAAACTGAGAGGTAGTAGCAGCAGGTTGACTAACTTGCCCTAAGGCACTAAGAGGCAATGAGAGACTAACTTGCCTAAGGGCAGTGTACTGTTTACAGTCTGGATTGAAATTAGCTGACTCCCAAGCCTCATGCTCTTATCTACTCTGCTGTGTTGCCAGAGCTTGGAAACCTATGGGCCTGTGCTGTAAGGCAAAATACCCAGAGGGAAATGAAGGCAGTTATTAAAGGAAAGAACATATCTTATTTTCCTTCAATATGGGCATACATATACGCAAACACAGACCAACCCTCACACTCTGGCACAGTCCTCATACACCCACAAAGCCAAAAGAGGAAGAATATCACCAGAATAGTAGGGATTTGAAGTTAAGCCTTTAGGGTTTTTAGATAAAATTTCTAGTGTGTTACCTTAAAAACACGAAAATGAATCATCACAAATGCTATATAAGAGCAAATGTATTGCATATATAATATCGATCACAGGCAATACCAAAATTTGTTCTATAGTATAACATATGTAGTATAGATATAGCCTTTATTTACCTGCTTGAATTATTTTCTTTCTAATTTAAGGGTCCTCTCTTCTATCTTAAATAAACAGGAACCAATTTCATTTTCCAGAAAGTATTTTAGTTAAATCAGCTTAGTCCCATGGTGTTTCTGGTCTATAATAGCACGCATTCCTGTGTTCCTCATCAAGCATCTTTGTTCCATCTACAGTGACATTTTTGTTCTTTTTCTGCACATTTGAAGATTTCATACTTGGACTCTGTATTTTACCTGTTAGTGCTGAGATATTATTTTTGAAAGAAGTTTTTATAACTAAACGTGTTTTATATGGCTGAGATGTTCATGTCAGGCCTCTAAGACATCCTCACACATTTATCAAAAAATTATGATAGAGCTCCACTGAACAATGAAAATGCCAAGAGACATGAAATGGGATAAAATAAAGGACTTAAGAAATCCCTTGTTAGTGAGAAAACATACAGGCATAGAACAAGCACAAGCAAACACCAATGTCTCCAATGAGACTGCAGCAGTTAAAAGAAAACTGGAAGCTAATGGCAGGCTAGATAAGAAGCAGCTCTCTCCAGCGAATCACAGGACATTCCTTTCTGGGAACCCAGAGCCTGTCTCATGCTTCCTAGTGTGTTTCTGAGCTAGACTTTACAGCAAAGAGACGATTTTGCTTAACTTTTTAATTAACGTGTGTCCTTGCTGATAGACATTGTGAATGAAGCACTTTTTCCTTCCCATTATGGCTTAGAGTTTAGATTTAATTACTGTGAAAATGAATCTGAAGAAACATGACTTCGGGCACAGCATTTTAAATGTCGGCAGAGTAACCATGTTAGTTCTCTATTTTAAAGTATCAGTGCCATCCCATCTTTATGATAAGTGATTTGAAAATAATTTTAGAAAGGAGGTTACTGACCCAGAGACTCTGTGGGTCATGGAAATATCACCTATGAGTTGTAATTTTGAAAGCTTTTGTTTAGATAATGAGTTTGTTTTACATTGCAAGTACTCATAAATATTTATGTGTCAAGAACATTTGCTCTTATAGTGTTACATGTGAAGTTTTGGAGGCCCTTTAATTTGAGCTAATGAGCTAATGAAATATATAATATATATAATCATGCATTTTATCAAATGTGTTCACAGCCACATTTTCTACAACAAAAAGTTTAGAAAAGTAGCCTAAAATGGGTAGAGGGAACATAGATAGAGAAAAAATTATTATACAGATAGAGAAAATTATCTGTCTCTCATGTCATAAGCTATAAGCCATGAAAATACAGTGTGGTTATGAAATATTTAGTCCTCCAGTAAAATATGGATTTTGAAAAATAAAAATAAAAACAATGCAAAATGACCTTAAAAGAATAAAACTTGAAAAAAACCATGTGAGATACCTTCTCATGCAATCCAGTGCTCGGATGAAGAAGTCCTTGTGCAGCTGGTGCTCATCTCTCAAGATGGAGCACTGTTCAAGTGTCACTGACATCGATGTCCTGTCTTTGGCACTTTTACAACAGGTGAAACGAATACCATTTAGTTTGCGGCAAATCTGTAACACACATGTAAAAACAAACCTATATTGTTCATTTGTAATACTGTAAAGCGTTGGCCTCCTCCAAACACTTCTACTCTAAATACATCAAATATAAATCTGAGTTTGTTTTAATTTATGCGAGTCGATTGGTTCAATCAGTCTCATCGAATATAAAAGCATTACCTTTTCATTTCAAAAGCCAACACAATGGGCCTAAATTATTTAGCTCTTTGTACATGAAGTGTGGGACTGTTGAAGCCATATAAGATGTGAAATATCCAGCAAAGGACACAGCACACTACTCAAGGAGGTACTTGGTCTGCAGTGGATAATAATGCTAAACTAATCCCAGCTCAGACACAATGCCTTCATTGTAAAGAGGAAAAACAAAACAAAACTCTATTCCCTGGATCAAACAGTTGATTTGAATCTTAAATAGCTAGTAGTCTCTTATTTTACATTTAAGAAATATTTGCTAGTCTTGGTTTTATGTTATGAGATTTTAAACATCCGCATGGTGCCTCACAGCAGACAAGGGAACTGCTCATCAATTTATTTATTGCACATAGGCTGTGCACTAGGGTACAACACTAAGAAATCTCATATACATTTGCTCTTTTTAATAAACTTCACAAGGGCCTGGTGCAGTGGCTCATGGCCGTAATCCTAACACTTTGGGAGACCCAGGCAGGTGGATCTTTTGAGTTCAGGAGACCAGCCGGGGCAACATAACGAAAGCTTCTCTCTATTAATAATAATAATAATACAAAAAATTAGCTGGGCGTGGTGATGTATGCCTGTAGTCACAGCTACTTGGGAGTCAGAGGTGGGAGGATTACTTGAGCCTGTGATCGTGCCACTGTACTGCAGCCTGGGCAACAGAGTGAGACCCTGTCTCAAAAAAAAAAAAAAAAAAAAAAAAAAAAAAAAACCTCCCAAATTAAAAATAAATAAACTTCATTCTAGAGGAAGGTATAATTATTTTCATATTACAGATGAGGAAACAGAGGTTTAGGTAGGTTAAGTAACTTGTATATAACAGAGCAGAACCAGGATGCAAATAGAGCTCTATTTAAGTTCAAGGATCAAATCTTTTAACATCTGTTATGTTCTGTTTTCCTCTCTGGTTCTTTCTTTCTGTTACTCTAACTTAAATCAGAGACAAATCACTGAGTAGCAATACTCTCCTGTCTCACTGCCTTATGGCTAATAGGGAAATCATTCCATTCCTTTCTCTTCTATTCCATGGTAGGGTTCTAATATGAGATACCAATAATCAACAGGCATTACAATGATAATCAGTGTGCATTTAAAATAGATCTAATGTGATATAAGAAAAGTCTTTATTTTCTGTCATCAAGGAATCTTTAAAAATTGTCTGCTTTTAAGAAAAGGTAAAATAATACAGCTAATCTAGAATTTATTATGTTTTAATTGTGATTCTGATACTTAAACTTGAATTTATACATCCCTATCAATTAAGAACTTTGGTATTTCTATTTCCAGTAGAAGTGACTAGAAAAATGTGAGAGCATGATTTCACCATCTAATCTTTTTACATCTAAAAAATTCTAATCCTTACAAATAAACAGTATTTCATTTTTAAAAATTCCTGACTATATTCATAATAATAAAATAGACCATGGTGACTATTTATGAGATATGATTTTTAAATTGAATTAATATTCTTTAAAATTTATTGTTACTATTATATAAACATGTCCTACTTAGAATATTTAATGTTCTAAATTTAAAGTCTAGTGGAGGTAAGGGCAGTTCCATCAGAGTATACAGAGTAGGCCTTGATTTCTATATTTCTGCAGTACCTGAACCATTAATTTAGCACATTTGATTGTCATTTGTCCTCTTTAAATCCTCACTTTTACTATTTAAAGAAGATAAAATAACTTTATATTTTTTAATTAGAATGTGAAATATTAACTAAAGCATTATTTCATTAAATAGATTTTTTTTAAAAAAGAGGAAAATAAAATAACAGAAATATTAACACAATATTTTTGGAAAATATCAAAAGTAATTTATGTATTTTTTATTTTAATAGTATCATTAAAGTCCATGATTTACAAATAGAATATTAAAACTGAGGCATGACACAACAGAAATGCTACCAATCATTCATTCAGTGGTAAATTGAGAAAATCATATTTGTTCAGTATACACATTTCAAAAAACTATTTTAGAAATGTGTGGGATTTATAGTAAAAATTTTTCATACATTAAAATGGGAAAATGCATGTACTAAGAGAAAATATACATTCATGTTTACATGTGTGTACCCTTAATTTATCTATTTACATAACTTCACAATTTATACATAATGACATATTTGTAAATTTGTAAATCATCAGATGGCATGAATATCAAATTATCTTTATGCTATCATGTTTTTAGTAAAATAGAAAACACAATTTATGACCTACCATTGTGAAAATTGATTTAGAATAACAACCATAATGGTCTTTGAAGATACAAACAGCAGCCGTACTATTAAAAACAGCTTTCATGTAGTAGGGTAATGGTGCTAAATGGGACTAGTATAAATGAGCTGCCTGAAAGCAGCATTTCATATTGTTACCTTTGATGTTTTACCCTGGGGCTCCAAGAAGGCATGAAGGGAAACTAAAGAAGGTTTACTCTGCCTTGCTTTTGGTTAATTATTTCATATGGGCTCATGGTAAATCATCCACTCTTTTTTCTCAGAAGAAAGTAAGTAATATTGAATTATAATTGAAGCATTGGCAGTAGGGAAATTTTTTTTGTTTTAAATGCTACGGATGGAGAATGAATAGAGTATGCTAGAAACATGGTCAACCTGAGCTCCAAATGATCAGAGTAACACTGCAGAAATTGCAAACGTGGCATTTATCATTAAGATTTTTAACATGTACCTTTCCTGATGGAAGGATGCATTCCTAATGAAAGGGTGTTTGGGTCTGATTGTTTAACAGTCATAAATTTCATGTTAACTATGACTCAATGGTTACCAGATAAGAGCTTTAAAAATACAGGCATTTCTCTCTAATTGTTGTAGAAACCTGGGGTGAGAACACAGGCAGATCTTTTACCCTAAGGATACCATTAAATGAGAAAGAGCTATACAAAATATAGTTCATTACCCCAAGAGCAATCCATCAGTAATGAATTCTATGCCAATATCAAATTAACAAACACATTTATAAGCTCATTAACTGAAAAATATGTCCAGGAGCCTTATTAAAGCTGTGAATCAGACATCTGATAACCACATTCTGTTGAAACCATGTGTCTCTAAAGCAGCAGTTCAAAATCCTAGGTGATAGGGGCAATGGGCACTGCGACATGCCACATCAAGAAACTCACAGATACTTCCTCAGAGTGGCGAACACATCAGGGTTGGCAAGAATAGCAAATGAGCGAGATTCTTTCTTGAGTGCATTTCCTACCATCTTATGTTCTAGTCTATGGACACAATGATCAACAAGACTGAAAATGCCTAATGCACAGAATAACAGAAGATGACATCTGGTAACCCAAAGTGCAGAGGATGGACCTTGTACAACGGAAAACTGATGATATTTGCTGGTTAACATATGGCAGGAAATCAGATTTGACATGAGAATGCTTACCGTTGCAGCCAGCCACATAATTTCTACATTCTTTCTTTTTTTGGATTGGATATTTTGATGGAGATTTTCTAGTAATCCTTTTAAATCATTTTGTTCCTGAAAATGCGAAATGTCTGAAGTGGAAAAACAAAACGAAGGAGAAAAATAAAATGAAACAGTGTTCACATTAAGCTGCCCATGGAGTTTTTTCAATACATTTATTTGCAAACACAACCTTTTTTTAAAGACAGAGTCTTGTCGGCCACCCAGGCTAGAGTGCCAGCAGCACCCAATCTTGGCTGACTGCGCCCAGCTCAATCTCTCAGGCTCAAGTGATCCTCCCACCCCAGTGCCCAGAGTAGCTGGGATTACAGGAGCCCATCACCATGCCCAGCTACTTTTTGTTATTTTTTGTAGAGACAATGTTTGGTCATGTCACCCATGTTCTGGTCTCAAATTCCTGAGCTCAAACAACCTGCCTGCCTTGGCCTCCTGAAGTGCTGGAATTACAGGCGGAAGCCACTGCACCCAGCCTCAAACACAATTTTTATAACAGCACATATCATTTGAAGCAGAGTATCTGAGGATAACCATACTCTGTAATTTCTCTGATTTTATTCTTTACTTACTAATACGCTTAAGCCTCTCATTCTCTATTCTGTATAACTATGGTAATATTAAGTGGTCCTATAGTACTATTTTACCAGCATTTTGGACAAAGATGATGGCTTCTGTCTCACTTTAACAAAAGCTCAAGACACAGAAGTCAAGAGACATAACTTTCCTTTTTTTTTTTTTTTTTTTTTTTTTTTTTTTTTTTTTGCCATTGAGTACCTATTCTGAATCAAGAGATTATGTTAAATTGAACATCTCAGGGGTGGGAGAAATCTGAAAGTTCAAATAAAATACATGAAGTCAGTTGCTACAAAGCAAGTTTCCTTGAACTCAGCACTATTAGCTTCTTAAATCAGGTAGTATTTTGCTGGGAAGAACAGCATGCTGTGCATTAAAGGATGTTTCATAGCATCCTTGACCTCTGCCATTCACATGCCAGTAGCAGCTTTCCCAAGGTACAGTAGAAACTGCCTTCAGACACTGCCAATGTCTCCTGACAGAAAAATACATCCTGCTTGAGAATGACTGCTATAAAGAAGCACAGATATGACATGGAAAGAAGAAAAACATGAGACTACAGTTAAACAGTATGAGATAATTGCTTTCTCAGATTTCTACATACTAATAACTAAAGCATAATAAATGGCATACACTTTATATGGAAACCGGATGCAATGCACATTATGACACAAATGTCCCCAAGATTTGGTGAGATGGGATTCAAGATTACAGTGATACAAACAAAACAATTTTCTAAGTGAATGGTTGGGTTAGTACTGTAAAGTATGAAAATACACTCTACTGTTGAATCCATAAATTGAGAGAGAAATTTCTGAGAGCTTTAACTGAGGCTAAAAACAGAAGAAAATACGATGGACTACACCTACATTACCAAGTTTCATTGAAGAAACAGATGACATATTCCTTACTAGTTCACAAAAACTGACATAATTGAATTTTAGTAGTAATGAGGCTTCGTACTTGTTCAAATTTGTACCCGATGGTGCAGTAGAAAAATAATGTATCTGAATAGTTTTAGTTTGTGACTTTAGCTCCAGAGAATAGAGGAAGTATCCCAATGAACTATACAAACGATCTATATCTAAGCGCAGAAGTGGTTGGTAAAGTGTGGATTTCCATTGAAAATAATCATATCTCACCTTGGATTTTATGACCACAAAATAGAGATAGGTTGGGTACAATTCAGGTATATACTCTGGTTTAGGAAAGTGAGATTCAGAATACTCATATAAAATATATGCATGATTCCACTGAATTTGTTTCTAAAAGGGAAAATTGTCAAAAGTCAAATCTTTACTATTTAAGTACAGATGATTCTCATACTAAAGAGAAAGTCTGAGTGACGACATCACATTGCAAGGTAGAAGGTTCTCTGATATACTGGAATTTTAACGGGACACAACCCAAAATAGCCTCAAGAGAAAGGGAGGGAAGCCAAATATGGAATGCCTTGAAGGGAGTTATAAAATCAGCCCAGGACTGGTGGCTGATCAAAGAAGGTATGGACAATAATGCTGCTTTTTAATTTATAGTCATGGTATGCAAGAAATAAGAAGTTAAGTCCACCATCACTGCTTTTAATGTTGATAAATGGCAACCAAAACAAACCCAGGAGAAGCCATAAATTAGAATTATAAGCAGCCATTAAAAATTATGTGAAGGTATATCAGTGACATAGAAAGTGTCCTTGACATTGCTGAAAAGAAGAACTGGTCAGATAAATGAATGAATTTATTTATGTAACATGTATATGTGTTGTGCACATGCATGCCTGTATATATGTTGGTTTCTCTTGGCATATGTATATAGGCAAAGTGAAACATTAGTTTAGATGTTAACAGTGGCCATCTTTAGGCTACGCAGCTTAGTGTAATGTTTCAACTACCTTTTCATATCATTTTAAATGAACAAGTATTGTTTTAAAATAATACAGTGATTTTAAGAGCAATGAGGAACAAAGAATATGCATGAGAAAATAAAAGTACTTAAATTCTTTTTTGTTTTCTTTTGGCATCACAATAAAACAGTTCATTATATTCTGAAGAACCTAAATTCTTATGATATAAAGACCTGACTTCAAAATGTCCATAGTCTAGTAGGGTAGGATGGATATTGAAACTATTATTAAGTGCAGGAAAGTATGCTGCAGGCTATGACATAACTCAGTAAAGATTTGTGAAGCAAGGGAAGCATTGGACAATTCTACAAGAATAGGTGGGGGTGGGAGAGCATCTAGCAAAGATAAGGCTTCATGTCTACTAAGAGCCTTTGAGTCTGAGGGGAAAATAGCAAAGATGCAAGGCATGAGACAGTACTGTAGAAACGGAGTGTGTAGTTCACAGTGTCCTTGGAGTGTACAGTCCTGGGGCAATGTTTATGAAGGATAATCCTGTTCTGCTATGCTGGGGAATCAGGCCTTCGTCCTAGAAAATGCAGGCAACTGGTGTTTTAAACAGGGGCTTAACCCCTTCTGGAAAACCCCTGAGCTTCTTTCTGAAGTCAGGCTTCTACAAATGACTTTCAAACCTTTTTGAAAGCAATACAGAATGGAAAGGTTTTTTTTTAATACAAGATGAAGACATCACACGTGTTCTGGAGAGCTGATGCATAACAATACAACTACAATTAACAATACTTCGTTAATGTATTTGAAATTTGCTAACAGTGTAGATTGTAAATGTTCTCACCACACACACAAACATACACAATGAAATTGATAACCATCTCTGAGGTGATGGTATAGTAATTAGTTTGACTATGGTAATTATTTAACAATGTATATGCATATTACATCATCAAATTGTATATCTTAGGCATACATAATCCTTAATTATCAAAAATACCTCAATGTACGAAAAAAGAAAAATATGCTTACTTTACATAATATCTCACAGCAGTCATACACATACACCCATCTGTAACAAAAATATTATAGTATTTACCCTTAGTGTATACATTGCACCCAAAATATTTTTTTCTTTTCCCTAATTTTTGAAAAGTTTTAGTTTCAACACACCAAATTTATTTATCATTTCATAGGATGAACATAAAAAAATTACAAAGCACTGACTTAGGGCAGCTCCATGTCAAAGTGTCTGGGGGCCGAAGTGACTTTTTTAGTTCATAGTCAGAGGAGGAGTCAAGGCTAAAACTTTGTCTCTTAACTAGTTTACCAGGAATTTCTCCCAAATCTCTGCTGATATTTTTACCATTGGTAGTACTAAAACCAGCTCTGATATCAACACAATAGACCAAATTCTTCAGAATGCTGGGACTCCAGAACAGAACATGATTTATCAAAATAATCTCCTTTCATTGTAGACATGGAAATGTTTTAATAAGCCATTTTAAACAGACGATAAAGATTTTAAATGTAAATCAAGCACCTGGCCATTCTTTGCCCATTTCCACCTCATAAAGAGAGTGCTTTAGAATAGACACGCATAAAGTCAATGGAAATTTCACTCCTTCTCCCAGGATGTGCTTCTTACAAGAAAAGCTATTTTGATGTATATTTTTACATTTTTAGGGCACTATTTCTATTTCTATAGTGACAAAACTTGCTGTATTTAGAGCACATCTCTGTTAACCTAATACATTGGTTTCTGCCAGTTTTTTTTTTTTTTTTTAAACCCATTAAAAATTCTGCAGACCTCAGAAATTCAGGTCTGGTTCAGGAAAGCTGTATCATTAGTAATAGCCAGTTTGTTAATAGGTGAGATTTCAAGATGTAATGATAGATCCTGATGTATCAACTGAAAATTGTGGTGTACATAGAACGTGAATTGGTTTTAGATTTGGACTGTGTCTCCTCAATTGTAAATATAGCCAAACAGTCTTACTTTTTCTACTCACTCCTGAATTATTCTAAAACAAAATTTAGACAGGGCAATTAAGTCTCTATGCATATCTCCATGACAGTATTCTTTTTTTTTTCAAATAGAGTTTAAGAAATCAGAGGTAAAAGTTACAAAGATATTTATTGCATTATTGCTTATAATTTTGAATAGCAGAAAAGCATTACAATTTTCCTATTCACATAACATTCATGCAAAGTAATATTATATAAGTAAAAATACAAAAATGCTGTATGTGTCAACATCGATATATCACAAAAACGATGTTGAGCAAAAAAGTGCAAATTATAAGAAGATTCCTACAAGATAACAGCAATAATACAGTTAAATACAGTAACATATTTTTATGGATACATAAATATAGAGTAAAACGTGTATAAGGATGTAAACCATCAAATTCAGGGTACTCATGTTGTCAGCGGAGGAGATGGTTAAGCGTGGTAACCTGGAGAGATACCAAGGGAGCTTTCTCTCTATCTGTAAACACTTATTTCTCACAAAATTCCAAAGTTGAGTAATGGGTTCCCAAATCTGTGCTATTTATGATTTATTCTTTTTGTTTGTTTGAAACTTTTATAGTTACTTTTCAAAAACAGCACTAAGCCAAGATTCCAGAAAAATGATTTCTAATGCCAACTCTA